TCTGTCTTCCAGTCAGTTTCACATAAACTTTGCACGTATTATAGAAATGCCACTTACCTTTTTGTGTTAATAGTATTGAAAGTAGTTGGTGGTAGCTGAATTCGTAGGCCAATGTTAGTAACATGGGTGGACTTTCGAATATCGCCTCCCAGAGGGTGTCTGTTGTGAACATAATACACGAAATGCGCGTTCAATAACTCTCATTGCTCAGACTGGATGGCTTTTAGAGTGGGCGTAAACTATGGTCATATACTCTGATCAAATTCAGAACTAGAAAATCGTGTTATTTCATTTCATTAAAAATAATAGTAAAATTTATTGTAGACACCTAGTAGAGTCTCGAAAATTTCCATTTTTAGTGCCAAATTGGTTACTCCAGTAAGTTCCAACTGTTCTGATTTTTTTTTAAATTATTTATGATGTTAGTGAGTTTCATTTCAATTATTTGTTACTTAAATTTTCTGCGTATTAAACCTTACTTAACAATACGCTATTCGTTATCGCAGGTAGAATTAATGACACTGACTAACCTGATTTTGTCCAGGGGGCGTAGTTTGGTAGTTTGTGCTGTGTTGTTTGGTAGTTTAGTAGTGTGCGATCATTTATAAAACTGGGGAAAGTTTCGATATCTCGTAAACACATATCATTAGAATTATATTTTTAAAATGTTGATTAGGTTATGTACTAAATAATATAATATTCATACACATTGCGGAAAACGTACAAATTTATATTATAGAAAATTAACTATTTTTAGAGGTTGGTTTTTCAAAAGGTGGGGATTTAGCTAAAGAACCGATGTAGACTAAAGTGCGGCACTGTGATAAATGTTTGAACTAAAAAATCGATGTTTTCGTGTCATAGCGAAAGATGAATTATTATTAAAAACAATAGTTGCATTAATTGTTGTCACCTTTTGTGAAAAGTATGGAAAATATCCGCTAGGTTCGCATACCTTTTTACAGAATCAAGTATTTAAGTAAATTGGTAAATTATTTTTTAATGTGGCTGACAAAATACACAGACAGAAAAGTTCAGATACTGTTCGTTATTAATGTAGCGCATAAAAAATTAGAAAAGACAACGATTCGTGTATGGCATACGTAGTTAGTACGGAATATTAGTCTGAAGGCTGCAAGACAGTGAAAGAGTGATGCGCTTAATTGTGGTTCAGAGAGGCTATTTGGGCTGTAGAAGTTCTTCATTGAACGGGGTTCCAATAGCGTCTCCTAGAGCGTTAGCAGAGAAGGGTATTACAGTATTTAGTATGGGCATCCAGATTGCATTGTTGTTCAGATTGCCACAGAAACACACTTTCATGTAGTAGTAGCAGCAGCTTTTAAGTATACGACTCTTTAGTTAACATGCATTTCGAGTTGCTTCATGGGTTGATCGGAGATTAGAGGGTAGATACAGATAAGTTCCGAAAGAAAAAGGTATGTACACTATCCTCAAGGATCAGCAATAGATAAAAGAACTTGATGAAGTAGTAAGGTTAACTGCGATATCTGAAAATCATCAATAAGATAGATAAATTAATTTTGAAAATATTAAATAATAAAAAAAATAAAATAGCAAAGAAAATCGAAATCATCAATAAGATAGATAAATTAATTTTGTAAATATTAAATAATAAAAATAAAATTCAAATAGCAAAGAAAACCTTAATGTCCATATTTTTAACCACGGCCACATACACATACTATTTTCGAAATATGAACTTTTCCCAGATAAATAGTCAAATATTTCAGGGTACCTTAAAATAAAAGAATGCGGAAATATGTATGAAGTTCACGCACGGTAGATGGCTTAGTAAATTAAAAAAATGTATATGGTTTCTAATATACTACTTTATTAATGAAAATTTTAACCATGTTTTTGTTTTCCAGATATTATTGGTGGTGCCAGCCAGCTTCCAGTTCCGTAAATATAAATCCAACACTTTTCGTGTTTATTTCCCCGTGTCCTTGTGCGCAATAGTAAAAAGTACAGTCGGTACCCGCGAGAGTAACAGACTTTATGTTTTTAAAATAATTTAGATTTGTTAACGTTTATTAGCGTGTTCTTTGTAACAAACCAACTCCGCTATTTAGAAGAGCAGTTTCATCCCCATGTTATGATATTATTTACCGTTTCTTTTTTTTATATAGATTAGCCACTTAACATCGTCCCTCGCATCGTGCTTGACTGAAACATGAGTTTGCAACTATAAGAGATTAGAATTAGCGGAATGTCGTTCTCTGTGTCATGTTCCACAATTTATTTTGTGGGTACAATACAAAATGGTTCATCAATAAAGGAAAGAGCAAATAAAAAAAATGCAGAAAATATGTTTGCATTATTCCTCTACGTTTAGAGGGGTGCGCAATTTGTCTTCTAAGATTTACATATTAAAACAAAAAAATCTAGTGTACTTTTAAATTTAACATAAAGTTCAGGTTACATAAAAAAAAGCTATTTCGGTCGGGTAGTCAAGTACAGATTGAAGTTATGTTTTGTAGGACGGCCTTATGGTGATCGCTCCTTGTGATCCAGTGGCCGCTAGAATGAGGTTATGTGAAATTGAAACGCCCATGCGGCGGTTCAATTCCCAACACTGTCCCTTAGGGATGCTAATGTAATAAAAAGGTTATTTATTAGGTGATATCCAATAATTCTTAACCAACGTTTGAGGCTTGCGGGTGAGAAGTTTCACGTAGCAACTAAAATATAATTTCCTCCTATGCGTTGACATCTTAAAATGTCTTTATTAATTATTAATTAAAAAATTAACGGCCTGCCTGAAGTTAACGCCTGGAGAAGTTCAAATGCACCTGCTTCTTTACTTCTTTGGCCGTTTGGCCTGGCCGATAAAACAGAATAAATACTTATCCTCCGACCTGAAGTTGGCGCCTGGAGTAGTTCAAATGCACCGACCTGTCTGGACACAGCGACCCCCATACTATTTTTAAGGGCACCAAATTACGCCGTAGCTGACATTCTTACATTTTAACTTGCTTAGCAGTGTCCCTTACTCTTACGTTCACTAACCAAAACTAATCAATTGTTGAGTAGTAAAATATATTTTTTTCTTCGTTTCTAACACCCTGCTTTCTTCTAGGCACTGGATAATGATAAGTTTAAATATGACAATTTTAATCCAATAAATATTTGACAAATTTAAATTAACGAAAACGGAAGGCAATTAGAGACTTTTCACAAGCATCAAATAACGGCGTAGCGTTTGGTCAGATAAAACAAAATTTGTTTCCAAAGCAATCTTGATAATCATAAATTAATTATTTCTGTCAAAGCAGATGTTTTATTCATTTTTTATATTTGTTGCTTTTTGAGTCAAATGTAAAACAAGTAATAAACGTAAACAATAACATTTTATTTCATATTTTATATATATATTTTATATATTTTAAATATCATTTGGGACATTGTTAAAAATAAATTTGACTTTAATTCGTTAAATTCGAGATAATAATACATTAATAATAATTCGCAAAATCCAAGTATTTTTGGGCATAGAATTATTTTATTCACATTTTAGGTTTGAGTAAAGACATCGAGATATGGTTTTCACTGGGTTGTTGGGCCGTGATTTATCTACTAATGATATGTAAAAACTAATACCGTTGAATTTATTCTTTTTTTAGAAAATTTATCTTGCGATTATGACAGCAGAATCCATCTGGCGGCAGAGCAAGCAATCACAATCGCGTCACTATCGATAGCCTAAGAAAAACCGTTTTTAACGATTCCAAGTTGATTACAATATATCGACATTTACCTACTTAAGAACATATGCGAAATCCCTCACCATATTAACTATGGTTAACATTAGAAATTATTGTAGAAACCGAGTTTCAAAATAACAGGTATGACTATTTGTTTCTTACTGGGACATGCGGAAGAAACAAATAGCTACTAGAGACATAGAGGCGCTGCCTAATGCGGATAACAGAAACTTACCATGCAACTATGAAATTTTTTTAAGGTGCATTCAACATGTGCATACGCGAGATTTAAAAATCTTGATTTTAACTGGTGAATAAGTATTTGTGAACATTATTTTCTCGAAATATGCCTAGATCTCTCGTTAAGTGTTCTGGGAAAATTCGTTAAGTGTGGAAACCGTTGTTTAGAAGAAAATGGCAGAAAGTGCAGCTTAATGTGTGAAATGTAGAGGCATGCGCGAAAAATCATTACCCTCTCTACGAAAATATCAAAATCGCTTGCGGCGCATCAACTTTATCTAATAGATATATGGGTACAATCCTAAACCCCAATGAAGAAAGAAGAAAATATTTATCGAGTTCGATTAGTGGCGAACTGAAGTGGCTTTTACTTGATGAAAATCCATTTATAAAAATAAATAAGAACTAAAAGTTCAGATTTTCACGAAATTATGTATTTTGACATGACAATTGTTTCGACAAAACCGGGTTTTATCAAATGTGCAGGGGACAGCGGACTTATCATTCAACTAGGTGACGACAGTAGCGATAGTAACGATTTTTTATGTGACTGATATTTTATTATTATATTTAATATTTTGAATATTATTAGTGATACTATGTAGAAGTGTAATGAAATAAAACGTAATAAATTGTTACTTTGTGCTATTTTTTTTAATGTACATGTTTCAACAATTGCTCGGCGAAAAAGATTGAAAAAATACTTAATTCCCCGCTTGTTAGTGTAGGTAGATAAATTCCTAGGACGGTCCTAGAATGGTTACGGGTAAGGGTCTGATGTTCGATAAGGGGCTGCGGTTTTGGAGTAATAAACAGTAGGTAAAGTTAATCAAGAGGTCGGTATACCTGCTCAAACGTCGATTCATTCAATTAATCAAGCATAAATAAACGAATTACGGAAAAATGGAAACCGTAACAACAGTACAGCTCTCGTGTCCCTCACATCGACTACATGTGACGTTAAATTGATCTTGAATTTTTACCGATTACCGAGTAGGTGGAGAGGGGTCGATCTCAATGCGAGCGAACCGAACGTCAATCTCACAAAGCAACGAACGCTGTCTCATTCGTGTAGGTCCGTGTTGTAGGTTAGTTCATTCGGTCCGATAGTCACAGTCGCGTCCTAATTAAACTTCGAGTTGAGTACATAAAGTTCGGTTAAAGTGAACCCAAACTCGTCAAAGATGCGATCCCTGGAAAACAACGGAAACAACGTCCTGGAAGCCGAAAACAGAGTACCGTCCTTGAGGTAAATATAAGATGACTTCGTTTACTTCTGAGCGCCGATCTTTTAACAGGTAGAAATTTGTATCGTTGGCATGCTTGATTTAAACAATCGGTTTGAAAAAGGAAAAACGGATCGGGTAGTTTTGGTTCCTCTCGCGGCTTTTGCTCGTTTGTGAAGATTTGACCGTTTGTTTATGTCACTATAACGAGATTGTTTAGTATATTTTCTATATCGTTTGGCCGGTTTTAGATTCGAGACCGTAAATATGTTTTGCATGGTTACTTCGTGGATTCGACAGCGTTTGTGGGACACATTTCGCGATATTGTTTATATCGCTGGAAAGAGCACCTTTGAAATCGTAAATAATTATCATTTAATCGCCCTTTTTGTCCTATTAGTTAAAACTAGTGATATTCAATTTTTTTTTACATATTTGTTAGGGTTAATTTCTATTTAAATTGACAAATCGACTCTATTAAGTTAAAGAAATGTATTTTCTCATAACTTTTACAAAACATAATATTCTATTACAATGAACTCATAAACAATAAAGTAATAAAATATTAGCTCATAACAAAATAATATTTAGAAATGAATATAAAAAAATAGAAAAATTTGGAATTTCTCATAACATTGCTATTGTAACTATTGTAAAAACAAAATAGCAAAAAAAACATTTTCTATAGAAAATTTTTTTTTCTTAAACACTACAACCCTTTTTTACGCGCACACTATAAATTGTACATTACAAACTCCCACATGTGGCAAATAAGCACGTGGCTACTAATGCATAATATCTTCTTCTGTCTGCTAAGCGAGGACATGTTAAGCAGCTTACTCTCTTCTCTAACTCATTATTACCAAGTTCTAGATGAACATCTGTTTTCAAAATGGTTGCTATATTTTGTTTGACTTGCCTTGAAATTTGGGCAATACTTACTCTTCTTTCCATGTGATCCTCAACAAGTTGTAGTGTCAAACACTTGATAAAATCAAATCTGGATTTGTGGAGATTTTCAGGTAGACATGCATATATTAAAAAGCGTTTGCAGATGAAATGTCTAAAATTGTGTAAAAAATCGCGGCCATCGTCGGCTTCTACAATGGGTGGAATATATAATATTCATATTTACACATTCATACACCGTATATCTTTCATTCATGCCTCTTTTTGTATTAGTACAAAATTCAATAATTTTCGTTTTTTTTTTGTTTCGTTATTCACTGCATTATTGTAGTGTTTGTAGGTCTAGTTTTAGATGGCAAGAACGATATAGGGAGCTCTCTCTGATGTTTTTAGTTGAAACATACCTATACAATACAAACACACTTCCAATATAAAAATATAGACATTTGAGAAATAATTAGAAATTAGAATATTTGGGCCCTTGCTGAAGAAGACATTTTAGAACACTTGTTTGCTAGCCAAATTTAACTTTTTTTTAAATAATCCATTTATCTTATGTGTATTGCAATGGCACGCACATTGATAGGAAATCAATGATTTATTAATCGTTTATTAGTCCTTCCGCGTCAAATAATATAGTTAAGACGAGCTATACACCCATAGGGAGTAATAAACATATATTTCAATTGCATGTGATATTTTCTTGCTTAGTTTTTTACACTGAGTGCTGTGACAAACAAAAAAACAAGACAAACGAAAGTTCCTCGCAGATCGATATCGATTATCCATCCATGGCCTGGTTAATTGTTTTTTGAAAATCGATTAGCGGGTTACAAAATTTGCGACCAAGATAATGACAATTGTTTTTAATATGATCATGATTATGTCAACACTAGGATTGCTATTTTTATTTCTTGTGAGACATGATGCGGTGAGTGTTGTTCGATGTTCAAGATTAGAATTTTTATTGATGTTTAATTTATCGAAGCTAATTTGATTGAATTTGTTTTCTAGATTCTGATTTTAGATTCAACACGCAATTTCACAAATTGTGCTAATTGTATCTTCAAGATTCGGGGTTTGCTGAAACACCTGTGAAGTGTACGAGAAAACTTAACGGTTACGGCACTAAGATCATTAATCACAATTCTCGATTAAGTATAACAAAGAAGTGTAAATCAAGTAACGATCTCTAAGGTCTAGAAAATTTGGTAGGGAAAAGCCCATTACGTAATACCCATTATTTGAAAAAAAAGCAATTGTGTAAAACGCATCGGACATGTATGTGGGTTCAATGGATATGATCCTTCGAGGAATCTTTCAGTGTAGTTACGCCTAATTAGTTTTTTTGCGGGCGACTTTTGCGTATTTAGAATGGGTAATTCCGAAAAAAAAAAGTTCGGTGTCGTTGGTATTGGTATTTGCTGCGTGTCTTTGCGGTGCCGGTGTTTTTCGGTATTATTCAACAGAAACTTCCTACGCTAAGAACTTTATTCATTATTAAATGTCATATTAAATATTTTACTAAAACTTAAAATTACTTGAATATTTAAGTCGTCACCACCAAAGCCCGCATCCTAGGGGGATATTTTTTGTTAATTAGTTAATCAATTTAATGGACTCTACATCCTGAGTCCTAGAACTAATGTATGATCGAAGAACTTTGTAAAGACAATCATCCACATCGCAATTTTCAAGTTTTACTAACATTGTAGAATGATGTACTACTGACATTGAACATACAGCGAGAAATTAGTAGCGACGGATCTACCTCCAAAAAAAGTCAAATTGCATTTCACCAACAACGTACCCACGTTTAAAAAATAGCTCCTCTGTTATAATTGCGTCAAGCATTTTGCAGGAATTGATTAATTTATTGTTTGTTTAATAGTAATAATATTTCTTTATTGCAAAATCATTACATATTGTAATTAACAGATTAATGGTTTAATACGGTAGTCGCAAATTACTCAGTAACAGTTAAACAGTTAACAGTTAAGTCCGTATAATTTACAAACTAAGAAGAAAATCAATAAAGAAGAAAATAATCCCATGTCAAGCATATTATTTATTTTTTACGTCAGTATATTTCTAGAGAGTGTTCTAAAACAAATGGGAGAAACTTAAGGGGGTGATTCCTGGTTTAAAAGAAAGGATGTTATATAAACGTTGAATCAGTATTATTATTACAAAACACAATTCTTATATATTCATCCTTTGCCATGGTGATCTGTCAAAAAAACACGATTTTACTTGGTTTAAAAATTACAGGTGCAATTTTCTTATAAATCGCGGTATCTCTCTTTTAGTTTAGTTTCTTCAAATAGATACTCAGGACATCTTTTACTGATTATTTTATGGAAATAAAATAAAAACATAAATAGGCTTAGGATTGGCAAAGGCCGTTTTTACGCAGTTAGTTGATGACATAATCCTTAAACCTTAAATCAACATCAAGCAACAGTTTCGAGCTTTTGTTTTCTGTCTGTGAGGTATGGCTTCAGATCGAAACCAAGTATCGTATATACCAACCAATCAAAGTAACTTATGACTTAACCTCTCAAAAACCTTTGAATAACCTAGCAGAATCAGAGCCGTTTAAGTCAGGTGCCCTTCTCAACTGCAATAAAATCGACTAAACATTATATGGTTTTAAAATGTTAGAACTGTATTAACTTTTATCACCTTTGACTTTAAGTTTTGACACGTTAAGGCAAATGTCTAAGAACCTTCAGAGATTGATTTATTTGTTATTGTTGATGCAAACCAAAACTATTAATGTCAGATGTCATGTCGTATGATATAACTTTGGTTGTGAGAAGGTATATATACAATTTTGTTTAAATTTTTCGTTTCTGCATTCATTTTCGAATGAATTTCATAGAAATTTTCAAATTGAAATTATTTTGAGAGCAACCTGACAATTTATATATATATATATATATATATATATATATATATATATATATATATATATATATATATATATATATATATATATATATATTCCTTAAAATTGGCCAGTTTTGTAGCAATAAACAACAAATCAAAAATAGAGAGAGAATTCTATTGATATAAGATAAACAAATTATATATATATATATATATATATATATATATATATATATATATATATATATATATATATATATATATATATATATATATATATATATATATATATATATATATATATATATATATATATATATATATATATATATATATATATATATATATATATATATATATATATATATGTATATATATATATATATATATATGTATATATATATATATATATATATATATATATATATATATATATATATATATATATATATATATATATATATATATATATATATATATATATATATATATATATATATATATATATGTATGATAAAAAAAAGTTATTGATAGATATTTTTACGTATCGTCTATTGGTGTAGTCCACAAATGTTTTAGACAACTCATTTTCGACATAGAGCCCAAACATAGTATTTTTTTATGAAACGAACTATATTTTTAGTAACAAAAAAATCGCCTTATTTTCTCTTTAAATTGATATATCATTCTGACGTAAACTAACCATTAAAAACACAATATTATAAAACACACACAAACAAAATATAAGTATTAACAACAAAATATTAACCTTATAAACTAAATATAGTACCTAAAAAGATTACATTCGGAGCTGCAGAACGGGACTTACATTTTTGTTACTAAAAAACCCAAAATGAACTCACTCAACATCAATGGAAGATTAACAAGCAAAATAGTAAAAAATTTGCAGTGTCTTTTTTAAAAAACGTGTTTTTGTGTGTTATTCGCAAATGAGATTTTCAATTGTTTTTCTGAATTTGCCATCATCATATATTCAATAATAAAAAAATTAACAGCACACCTGGAGTCAATCAAGAATCATAAAAATATTCAAGAAAACATATACATGCGTCGCATCATAGTAATTTGAAGCTTGTTTCATAGAAGTAAAAATCTACAGGGCACAGATAATTTTAAATTTTATGTCAAAACTCGGAAACTGCGCATTTGACGTTTTCGTATCCAGAGTAAAAATTTGCCTAGTAAGAAATTTAACTTACAT